AAACTAAACACAATTTGAATCAAGCAGTGTCTTAGCCTGACAAATGGTACAAGCAGGTTACAAATCCTCAATACACAGATAAGAACTACCTTCCAGTTCAAAGTCTTTGTCCTCCAGATGTTCCTCCAGGTGTTGAGTCGGGGGGTGGGCTGGAGAGATGCCAAGTGATGATGCCACTGTCTCTCTCTCATATTTTCTTCCATCTTATGGGAAAGATCTTTGATGTGTTGCAGGGGACTGAACTAGGTCCCTTCCAGTCCCATGATTCTATGTGGGGGTTAGTAAGCCCCCATTGGTCAGGCAGTCTCTATTAAGCCTACATTCTTTCTCCTGGAAGACTTTAGGATAGTGGATTGTGTGTTGATGAGCCAGTAACGCTGTCTGGTTATTGATTGCTATTCCTTTGTTGTAATTGACAGACTGGTTGTGGGCGTTCCCAACCTGGCAATATATTTCAATAACACATAGTAATACTTCATACCTTCCCATACAATGATAGTACATACAGTCCAACAGGATATTATTGTTCAAGACTATGATACCTCACAAGGCATACTTTGTACAAAACATCGCCATGATGAATATTGGGGTTCCCAGGTGCTACTTTGAGGTACAGAGTGAGGTACAGAAGCCCAGCACATGAAAATCAAGTACGAACATGAGGCAATCAGACTCAACTCCCATGAGACATTATAGCCACATATCCAAATTAGAAAATTTTCAGTTGAAATATTTTGTTTTTCAGGTGAAAACTGAAAGTTAAGTTTTTGGACATTCATTTTATTTAACAAAAGAATCAAAATTTTCTTCACAAAGCAGACCTTTTTCATGAAAAGAAATTTAGTTGGTTAAAAAACCCAATTTTCTAACAAAAAATAGTTTTCATGGACAATTTTCGAGCAGCCCTAATAATAATCTCCCCAAAATTATTCATCTGTTATTAATGATTTTCATTTGACCATCCTGTTAGCTTGATTATGAGGAGTGTTTTTTTCTTTGCCATCTCTTTGCCGGAAACCTTCCCTGTGTGATCTTTGCTGACAGGTTATAGACATGTCCATTGTTGTTCTGAGTGTTGCATACCATATTTTATAGATCGCTGTTATTAAACTGGAAAAATATACCATTCCACATGCATAATTATTTGGCCACGGACAACTATTTCCCAGATATGCTCCTTATTAAATATTTCTCCTTCTTTCTAAATTATTATGAGTTGTCTGGGCTTTTTAGTCAGCTGCCACTTTAAAACTCAACAGTAAAGCAAAAATAAAAGCAGAATTAAGCCCAGCTTTCTGTGCTGAATGCCTCTGTTAATCAAGCTGCTCCTCATGCATGGGAGAAGTTCCCCGTAAACTTCCACAAAACAGAGTCATTATTCTCCTCCAAAACTCTCCTCAAAACTCTCCTCTGACATGATGCCCACAAAAAACTTGACAACAGTTAGGTTGCTGGTGTGCTGAGACCACTGCCTGTCATACGGACCAATATGTCTCATTTTTTCCTTGCACTCACCCAGGGGTGTATTCAGTGATGAGCTGCCAAAATCTTAACAACAGGTTCCCTCCTCACCCCACGAGAGGGTCGTTGCCCACCTCCGCACCCCGGGACTCCTGCCCCATCCAACGCCCCCGCATTCCTTGACGCGCCCCCCAGGACCCCTGCCCCATCCACCCCCCTCCCCTGTCCCCTGACTGCCCCCAGAACCAGACAGGAGGGTCTTGTGGGCCACCGTAGTGGGTGCCCACCCCACCCCTAAGAGCCAGAAGCACCTGCTGGGGGGTGAGAAAGGGAGTCCCGGCGGTGCTTACCTGGGGCAGCTCCCAGGAAGCATCTGGCAGGTCCGTCTGGCTCCTAGGGGCGGGGGAGCATAGCTGGGGGGGGAGCAGGGGGAGCAGCTGCTCCCCCCACTGATCACATCAAAAGTGGTGCCTTAGACACCGACTCTGTGGGTGCTCCGGGGCTGGAGCACCCACGGGGAAAATTTGGTGGGTGCAGAGCATCCACCGGCAGCTCCCCGCCCCGCTCCCGGCCCCAGCTCACCTCCGCTCCGCCTCTGCCTCCTCCCCTGAATGCACCGCCCCGTTCTGCTTCTCCGCGCCCCATCCTCCCCAGCTTCCCACGAATCAGCTGTTCGGCGGGAAGCCGGGGAGAACTGAGAAGCAGGCCGCGGCTTCCCACTCAGGCCGAGGGTGGCAGAGGTGAGCTGGGGTGGGGAGAGATTCCCCTGCGCACCCCCCCTGGGTGACCAGCTGCGGCGTGGGCAGCCCTCCTCGCCTCCCCCCGCCCCCCCGAGCTCACCTCCGCCTCCCTGGGCCTGAGCGGGAAGCCGCAGCCTGCTTCTTAGCCTGCTCTGGCTTCCCATGCGAACAGCTGATTCGCGGGAAGCCTGGAGGGGGCAGAGAAGCAGAGCGAGGCGGCACGTTCAGGGGAGAAGGTAGAGGCGGAGCAGAGGTGAGGTGATCTGGGGCCGGGGGTGGGGCGGGGAGCTGCTAGTGGGTGATTTTCCTCTTGGGTGCTCCAGGGCTGGAGCACCTGTGGAGTCGGCGCCTAAGGCGCCATTTTTGGCTAGTTAAATTTAGAAGCCCTTTTAGAACCGGTTTTCCCTCACGGAACAACCGGTTTTCCCTCACGGAACAACCGGTTCTAAAAGGGCTTCTAAATTTAACAACCAGTTCTAGCGAACCGGTGCGAACCGGCTCCAGCTCACCGCTGGGTGTATTTGTATCCATCTGTTGTCTTTTGTCTATGCTCTGACTCTAAACTCCTTTTTGTTCTGTGTCTGTACAGCATCTAGTACCAACAGGAGTCTCTGACTGGGCGCTAGAGTAATACATAATAATGATAACCAAACTAGGAGGGCATTCAATATTCAAATAAGGGTTAACTAACCCTTAACAAATATTTTGTGTCTGTGAAATCCTTGGAACTTCCTGGTTTACTGAAGGTATCCCAAAATATATAATGCTATGCTGTGACATCGAAAGCACCATGGTTTACGCAGGTTGCAGTGGAATTTATGATGTCATATGCTGTGATTAACTTGTTTCATAACCTAGAAGTGGGAAGCTATAAATAGCTATGAGATACTGACATTTACTGCTAGTACTGAAAGTGGCTGAAAGTCAGTCAGAATAACTTACACTATGATATACTTTCAGGAAAATAAGTTTGTTAGGTTAAATTCCTCTGGAATTTACTTTGTGTCTTATGATTTATCCCTTGATTTTCATTTTAAGTTTGTATGAATATATAGCATATAGAATTACTTATTGGTCAGCCTACAAAGAGGCTTATGTTATTGCTTGCAATGTCATTTCAGTGATTTCTGTGGGAAAGAATCATTGTAGGTATTTTTCTCACCTTTCTTCATGTTTGACAGCAGTGCAAGTCAACACTATGCCAGTTTCCATCAGAATTGCTTTGATTCTGGGATAATAGGATTAGAATCTCTGTGGCAATGGAGGATATTGCAATTTGTTAAAAAAAATTAAATAATATTTTTAAAGTATTTTGGCTATATATTTATTAAGTTCCCAGTACGTTACAGTAATAAATCACAATTTCAAAAAAAATCAATTTTTAAAACAATTTGAAAATGGGCCTTTTTTATACAGCAGATAAATTACTTGTGGACACGGTAACTACATGGAATTGACATAGTTGTTTCCAGGGATTCTTTTTCCTTATCAGAACCATTTGCATGAGCGTGCAGGCCCTGAATTTTGAAGAAGACCGTGTTCAAACACAGCTATTGTACCTATGTTAAATCGTTTCACCAACCCATAGACAAGGTTTGGGTTTCAAGTGTTTGCACCCATTTGCAGAATTGTCATTGGAGTTTTTCTTGGAATTTTACTAGGGACTGTCCTAGAAAATTCCATTTGTTTTGTACGATGTTCTTTAATATGGGCCAGATTATTAAAATATAGCATGGACAGTAGTTATCTAGCTAGCTACCTAATTTGCTCTTATCCATACCCAGTAAAAAAGTTAGCAGAAAGTATTCATTGACCATTAGCAGACATTAGGTTGTAGTTAATCAGTACTCATTCATTAACACAGGACACAATTGAATGTGGACCAGTGTCAGGTCTGTTCAATGTTCAAGTTTCACAGACCTTCTAACCACCGGTGTCTGTGGGGCTTGTGCAGATAATGGCAAGATTTTGTGATCCAAAAGACAGGACTGTATGGAGAAGAGGAATATGAAGACCCTAGACTGGAGTTGCAGGTTTCCTACAAAAAATTTTTTTTGCTTGGCCATAAGCTATTTGTTATGAGGAAGTTGAGTGGAGGTGATTGATTCACTGTGATGTAATTTCCTGAAAAAATATGTTCATAAAAATGTCACTAATGCAAAAATGTATAGCTTTTCTCTGTTCTAGTAAGACATTTGTCACACTGACAATACGCCCTCTTGTGATTCTAGTTCACAAATTTTTGACATACAACTGTTCAGAGGCCTGCAAAAATTGTGAGCCCAAGCAATGGTGATACTAGAAAGATAAAACATAAATATGCAAGGTTTTATAGAGACCAACTGTAAACCCAGTTGCCTTCCCATTGACAGAGGTCAGGAGGGACATTAATAGATATTGTTCATACTGAAGATAGATTTGTTTTCTCTCACCAATTTGGTAAACTATTAGCTTTAAATTGCTTCAGTGCTACTGGTGATATTATGTAAACAAATTTAGTTATTTTAGTCTCTCTATAAGTAAAGAAACAACAGTTCAATTCATCAAAGATTTTATTGGGGTTTAGCACTATAGAATTTCTATTATCTGCAAGTGGTTGCAAAGTAGGCTGAATCTTGATGTACTGCTTTTTGCAATTAAAATTTTTTGTTTTCCCCTTATGCACTCACCAACATTTGTTAGTAGACACTCTAATGGTACACTAACTTGAACCAGAAATGAATCTTATACATGTAAGACAATTATTTTACAGATGAGAGGTTGCAAGTTTACTTCTCTCTTTCATTCACCTTCCTACAGACATATCAGGAAAAGAAAGTAACAGAAGTAAAGACCAAGACAGTAAAAGAGCAGATGTAGAAATACAGGAGAAAGCATCAAGACGTAGAGAAGATTGTGTACTGTCTAGTAAATCCTGTCCTGTCTCAACTCCACTACCAAATGTTCTCACTGGTTCTGTACTACAGTACCCTGATAGAAACACAGCTGAGCCAATGGAAATCAACTTTTTAGTTTATAATGCAGACTCAGAGCTCCTACAGCCACAGGACAGTGATACTATGGAGACCACAGAATCATATGGTAATCCTTAGTCATTAACCACATTCCCACATGGATCAAATGCTAATAAATCTAGAGACAGATGTTGTGTTTATGCATAAGTGTGAGTGGGTATTAGTTCCTGGAGGGATCTAGCTTCTGAAGGGAGTTCGTATTTTCCTATAGCTTTGCTTTAAAGGCAGAGTAGGATGCCAGATGGTCTGTAATACCTGTTGATTCTTTTGATTCCTTCACAATGATCAAGTGAGGTGACTGCTTCTACTCACTGCAAACAACAGTGCAAGAATGAAGTTGCAAGATTTCAGTGAAATAGCCAAGTTACAACCTATTTTTACCTCTGGGATTAATGACCTTCAGTACAGGATTGGTCTAAGGGTTCCTTTTGCTGTAACCAGCGATAGGTGAGGCTGCTGCCAACTTCATTTAAGTGAAGGCCCTTGATAAACCACTATGCAATTTAATTGAAAACAGGTTGGGATGTTTTAATATCTTATTTTCAAAACAACACATTTTAGAGGTTGCAGTATCCTCCCTGAAAAAATATCATTTTCTCAGATGCACAGTAGTGATCAGAACCCGTTTCTCGTTCAGATGTACATTCATTAAAGTGGGCTGGTGATCACATCCTATACTGGCACACAAGAGAGCTGGGTATGATTTCAAGGCTCAGACTCTCATTAAGCCAGAAGACTGGTGACTGTGTGGGGCTTTTACTGGAGGAAGGCTGGAGCTACACTGATGCAGCAGCTCCAGCGCTGGCTGTCAATGGTAGTGCGTGCGCTTAAAGGGGCAGAACCTTACTCCCCACAACGCTGTGCTGCAGGTTGGCTGGTGTGGTGGCTGCCAGCCCAGCCACAGGGGTGAGGCTAATGCCAGGGGCTCTGCTACAAAATCAGAACACTAGTTGGCCAACACATCAGGTCAGCCTACTTCTCTTATCCTAGTACCAACGCTACCTCAGTCTTGTCTGGGTTGAGTCACCAAATAGCCCCAATCCCAGCCCCATTCTCATTTCGAAAGTCGTGCATCCGTCACAGCAGTGTGACCGGACAAGGCAGAGTCAGTGAGCTGGGTACCAGCAGCATGCAGCAGATACCACAGATCATATTTTCTTGCTAGCCCTCCAATATAATGTATCGCTCTTGTATAATAATGGGATATGTTTTTAATTGTTCTGGAAAGGAGCAGTCTGTATTTTCTATCTAGCATACCACATAACCCATGAACAGCTGAGGTACTCTATCAGCTAGGGATTCCTAGTTTTATTTCTCTCTTTCTATTCCTGTTTTGCAGAGGATTTCATAGGGAATGAACCTACATGGAGTAAGGAGGGTCGGGACATAGAGTCAGATATACAAGAGATGAGAGACATGATACCAAAAACAAGAAGTCTGGGTCCTAATGAGAGCGATGATATCATCATTGAGGAATATATACCTGACTATCCTGAACCTGAAACCCAACCATTAACCCATCCCTGTGATTACCCTGCCAAAACTTTTCAAGAACAGACCACTAACTTTTCTTTTTTTCAGGCAGATTTAACTAAGAGTGACATGGAGATCTTATCACTGTGGAATGGTAATCACTATTCAGATTTCAAGACTGATTAAGCAATAGTTGTAGCATAAATCGTGGTTGAAAAAATATGTGTCGCACACTCAGGCTGTGCAGGGATGGATGTGATATCAGCCTGCTCTAGGTGTCACTGAAGCCAATGGGAGTTTTGCCATTAACCAGTTACAGTTCCGCTCCTATCAAATTTACTGTGTAAATTAAGTTAGCAAGTTATCTAATGGGTGACCAAGAGTAATAGTACGGTCAGAACCCAAACAATTTGTGATAATATTCAAATAATTTTGTGCTTGTTGAGATAAGAATACCAGACTTGTTTTGGCTATCACGCTGAGCAGGCATATAGTGGTTGCCATAAAAAGTCCAACATTCATCTACAGTTTCTGGTTCATGGTGTCCAAAATGCCACTGTATGGAACGTTATTAGAATTGAAAATAGTAAGTTTTCCCATATTCCCATTTACCAATATCTGTTAGGCCTGGTCTGCACACAAAGTTACACCAGTGAGTGCTGTTTCCCCAATTTAATTAAGGTGGTGTGTGGACAATCTTAGATCGGTATAAAACTAGATAACTTCTTTGTGTAGACAAGCCCTTAGTAACAGAGGTAAACCGCCACACCCTAGCTGTCCTACTTCCTGATTCAGATGCCACCAACCATAGGCACTCATTCAACCTGTGATGAGCATGGTGTAAACATTTAGATAAATAGATAACTGATCTCTACCAGTCAGAGGCACTTTTAGAAACCCGGGCCCAGTACAATAATAATCTAGAATAGGCCTTCAGTACTGTTCAGATAAAAATGCTAATTTTCCTTTGTCAGCCCAAGTTTTGGAAGAACAGAAATGACTTTTTTCCAAGATCAGTTCTAAGATGCTCAATTTTACTGTACAGACTAAGATATGTGAGAATATTGGAGGTGAGGATATTCCAAAAGATCTAGAGATGTGAGACTATTTCAAAAGATTAACTTCTGTTATGAACTTGAGCAGTACAGCCATCAGTTGTACCATAGCAAACTAAAATTCTGTTCTGAAGTTTTCCTGAAATACCATCTCAGGTCTGCAAAAACTGCATTTCATCTTTTTTCCACTCAGAAAACTTTCTTAACCCTGAGTTGAAATAGTATTCCTTCTTTAGAGTAGTAGAAATTTAAATGGGAAACATCGTAAAATAATATTGGAATATAACATTCTCAAAATTAGAAATCGTAGATAAATGTGATCTTAAAAATGGAATGTATTGAAATGCATTTTTAAGAACACTTAACCTTAACTCTGCTCCGATACTATGTTATAAATAGGGCTGTTAGTTAATCACAGTTAACTCACGCGATTAATTCAAAAAAATTAATTGAAATTAAAAAAAATTAATCACGATTAATCACAGTTTTAATTGCACTGTTAAACAGTAGAACACCAGTTAAAATTTATTAAATATTTTGGGATGTTTTTCTACATTTTAAAATATATTGATTTCAATTACAGCACAGAATACAAAGTGTATAGTGCTCATTTTATTTTATTATTTTTATTAAAAATATTTGCCCTATAAAAATGATAAACAAAAGAAATAGTATTTTTCAATTTACGTCATACAATTACTGTAATGCGATCTCTTTATTGTGAAAGAGCAACTTACAAATGGAGATTTTTGTGTTACATAACTGAACTAAAAAACAAAATAATGTAAATCTTTAGAGCCTACAAGTCCACTCCATCCTACTTCTTGTTCAGCCAGTCGAACAAACAAGTTTGTTTACATTTGCTGGAGATGATGCTGTTTTTTTGTACATAATTCTACATTTGTAAGTTCAATTTTCATGATAAAGAGATTGCACTACAGTACTTGTATTAGATGAATTGAAAAATACTATTTTGTTTTTTACAGTGCAAGTATTTGTAATAAAAAATAAATATAAAGTGAGCACTGTGCACTTTGTATTCTATTCTGTAATTGAAATCAATATATTTGAAAATGTAGAAAATATCCAAAAATATTTAAAGAAATATTGTTTAACAGTGTGATTAATCAAGATTCTTTTTTTAATCACACGATTAATCACAATTAATGCTTTTAATCGCTTGACAGCCCTACTTATAAGCAGAAGATTATCTCCAGTTACCGTTTGTTCACAGTAAGGACAGGCTAAGATTATTTGAATGATGTTAATGGTACATACTTTCTAATATCTATTTTATTGTAATTTTTTTTGTATGACCTTAATTTATAATTTCCATTCTTTCCATTTTCTGTTTTGTTTTATAGTTCAATGTTCTTTTAAAGTTTTTTTCCTCAATTTATTGATACAACTTAAACATTGTTTTTTGCCTTGGAATTTCCTGGGCTTTCTGATAAAGTCAAGGAAAATGCTTGTGGCTCTGCCATATGGAAGCATATATTCACCAACAAATATGATATGTAAATTAGTTTCTTTGGGACAAAAGCCTTAGGTAGATTATGCCATGAATGACATCTGCTTTAATTAATATGACTTGGTAGAACTGCATGAAAATTGCTTCCAAACTACACCTACAGATTCCATAATGTCTTTTAACACAGCCAGTTCTGCCTCGCAGTTCTGCAGGAGGTCCCTAGAGGAAGCAATAGCTATGAAGAGATCAAAAGTCCCCCTCAGTTATAGAATCCAGGAGATATTTCCTGTTTCTCTAATGTTTGTAAGCAGTTTGGATCAATAAACCAATTGTGAAGTTCCTCCCCTTTTTAAAGCTATAACCGGCCAAAAAAATCATAAGAACTGAAAAAGAAGGGAAAGCACCTAATTGTTTAAGCTTCCATATACTAGAAACATCTCATGAACTTGTCTCAGATTTGGAGGGAATGTTTCTTTTGCCTCCCACCTCCAAGGCCAAATTGCCCTCCAAAAGAACATGCCCTGAGGGTTCAGGAGAGTGGTGTGGAGGTGATAAATTCAGCTTATAATGGTAATGTGGTTACAACCTGTGCTGCAGAGATGCTTCTACCTCTCCATAATACCACATGCTCAGTTTTGGTCTGGGTTTAGGTTTGGGCACTCACAAAACTGAAGTTTGTTCTCAGTCAGGCTAGCAATGTCATGCTAGCAGAACAGGGCCTGCTTTCCTCCTTTAGCAATGGTGAAAACTGTGGGTTTGGGAAATCACACAATAATGCCCAGAGAGTTCGTGGAGTTACAGTTCAAATTCGAATGCTCATCGTTTCATAAAACTGGGGATATTTTACATCTGTCATGGAAGTATCAAGGGATCTGAAAGCTGAACCTAAGAGATAGGAAACGGAAGGTGTTCTAATAACAGGGGAAACAGCCCTCATGGGCCATTTGGCCCTCTTCTTGTCAACCCTTCCATCCCCACACCAAAGTGTGCTCTCCATCCCCTCCCATACAAGTCTTCTCCATCCCCTGCTCTCTCTATCCTCCAGCTCCTCCTATCAAACTCTCTCTCCCACGCTCAAGTTCTGTCCTCCTGAACTTCCCTTTTCTCAGTTCCGGGCCATCCCCCCAACCTTTCTTTCCCTACCTCCAGTTCTCTTCTTGCAACTGAGCTTTGGCCTCCTGGATCAGTCTCTCCCTTCCCTCTCTGTCTGTCCCTCTGAAGTACTATTCCTTTGAGATTTGTCTCCTCCCCACTGTTGCTTCTGTTGTTGTTATAGCACAAATGTGTAACCCCCTAAAGCTCTCTCCATCCTGGGTTCTCTTCCTTTGCCATCAGTTTTGCCCTGATGTCTTCTTCCCCCCTCCAGGGTTCATTCCTTCTCCTCCAGAGCTGCCACAGCTCTCTTCACTACCTTCTTTCTGCACGGCTCTCCCTGTCTACCTGTCTTGGGAGCTGCTGAGCTCTGCTCCCTCTAGCATTGCTGCCATAAACAGCATTGCTAAATGGAACGGCAATCAGCAGTGATCTCATCCTGTTTCCATCCTTTCCCTTCCCATGTGTGCACTGCTTTTCCCGGAATGCTTGCCACTCCAGCTGCAGATGGAAGTACTGATTAAAGATCAAACACCGAATCCAGCTGCCACCACTTCTGTTGCACCTGTGTAACTGAGATCAAAACTTTACCCACTTTAAACAAACCAGTGCACATGTATTAACACTGAAAGTGACAAAGAATTCCCATGTGCACAAGGTTTCCAAGTCCAACTCTAGGACAGAGCCATTGCTAAGAAATCAAAGCAACTGCAACATATATTTCATATCTAATTTACATATTTTGTTCCCTTTCTGTAGAAGAACTTGTGAGAAATGTTGGTGAACAGCAAAAAGACCAAAGCAGAAAACCCGCAGATGCACAATTACAGGAGGAAACAACAAGGACACAAAATGAGAGTAGTCAGGGAAGTGATGACACAACTTTACCAAGAAGCTCCACTCCCAGTTCTTTCGTCCTACAAGTTATAACTTTCGACTGTCCTCCTAGCGCATCCAGCTCGGAGAAATTCACTAACTCTGATCCAAACCAGAAAGATCTCACCGAGGCACAGCAAGAAACACAGCCCACTGACCCATTGAATGGTAATATCTCATCACAAAACACACCTCAGTCTAACGAAGTGGTGCAGGGTGGAGCTGCTGCCGTGTCTGTTACATCCCTATTAAGCTTTGACATCCATAAAATGTCCAGTTAAGTAGTTGTTCAAGCCTGCAGTTTAGGAATGGCCCTTTCTCAGGCATATGTAGAAACTGAAGTGTCATCAAATAAAAACCATTTGACATGAATAAATTTAACCTTTTTGATATTAAGTATTTGATATTGAATAGTAAATGATTTGGCCTAAAATACCAAAAATATGAAAGTTGAACTCATATAATTTAAAAATAATTTTAGATATGTATTTGCAGCTTTAGAAGTTTAAGTTACTGGGAAATTACATAAACTCTGTAGAAACTGCTTGCCATTTTCTTTTTGAATAGGTAATTCTGCTTTGGCTATTACAGGACTTCTCACTTATTGTAGGCACTTATGATCAAAACTTCATGAACCAAATCATTTGTACTAAAAATGAATACAACTTCCCCCATTTATTTTGATCACTTTAAGCTGATGTAATTTGTTCATTAAATAGGTATAAAAAATTGCCATTTCAGTAACAAGGGAAGGTGAAAATTTTGAAAGTTGAGGGGGAAGGGGATGGAATAGCCAAAGGAGATCCATGGTAATGCAATATGATGAAAAGGAAAAGGGTTTTATTGACCTAAGCTGTGGTCTGTACTCTGGTGATCATATGATCACCATTGTCAAGGTGTCCAAGCGACAGTGGACTTGATCTAAGTAGAAGGAAGATACTGTGTGATATTCCATTTTAACTTACAAACAGTACTGAAATTGATGTTAAAGTAAGCTTTAAAAGAATGGGATGTTGAGAAGAAAGTATTACCTCTAACTCTTCCTCCTGGGCTGAGGATCCTTCACATCTTTGCATGAGCCATGAAGATCCAACTCTCTCTCCTGGTGTATTGTACATTTTTATGATGGGCTAGATTGCGTGTTCTCAATCCATCCTGAGTAAGAGGCAACACACGACTGCATTGCCCCAGGAGAGACCAGAGAATTAATTGGGGCTCTGAGCGCTACAATTCATCCCCTACTTTCCCCTTGTTCTGAGGGAGGAATGTGTTACCCCACTCCATTTCATGGACCTGCTTGCTCCCCTCTCCCTCTACCCCTCCTCCCCCACATCCACCCAGCCAGCTATCCTGGCCACTGAGTGACGGGGACAGAGCCAGAGCTCCTCCCAATCCCTGCTCCTCACCAACTTATTTGCTTGCAGCAACGTGTTTTGAGAGAGTAGCCCTGTTCTCTATGGTGCAGCCAGGGTCATAATCTGATCAGAGCTGAACATGTAAGAGCCCTATTCTCCTGCAGGTGAAGAAAAATTAGTTAGAACCAAACGAAGTTGCTGCTTAATTTTTCCCTGTGTCTTGTACGTTAGGGGCTTGAGGCAGTCACATGCTCTGTTCCCAGCTCAAACGTTGGATATGTCTTCCATAAGGCTGAGCCTTGTGAGACTGGGAGATGAGTGGCACTGCCTGGGCAGCAGTGCGTGGAAGTGTAGCTCAGCACATCTCTCAACTGACCCTCATCTTGAGAGATCTCCCTTATTTTATCCCCAGCGTGACCTACACGCACACATTTGATGGCCTTTCATTTTTATTGTTGAAACTTGTTCATCAGAGTAAAGGATCACAAAGCTGAGGTTCTAGCCTGGATTATTCCTATGAAAGGAATGAATCCCCCAGTACATTGTTTCCTAAATGAATATTTTTTCTCTCTTTCATTTTGGGTTTTTGTCACATGCTGCATGCTACATTTGGGCCTTGGCAGGTTGAAAACGAAGTGCCTTAGAAAGGTAAAATGCTGGCTATGCACTAGAGGAGGAGCCCAAGGACAGGCACTACTTGCTGTGCCCATAAAAGAGGTATAACAGCCATCTTGTACTAAGGGTCATTACTGCACCACCAGTGCTTACTTCTGCAGCACCTAGATGTTTCTTGGAGTTCTTCCATCCAAACATTGACTCAGTCAGATCCTGGATAGCTTGAGAAATCTGATCAGATCATGGAATAAATTGGCAAAGTATGGTTGTAGGCATACAGTTCTTGCAGCATAAATTCCACCTTTCTTATGCAATGAGCATATCATTATTTACGAGAACTCAGTGTTATTGAAAGGAAATCATTCATGTGGTAGGAAATCCCCTGTAGGACAGGCAGGATTTTAAGGCATCAGGACTGCAGTTTATGAAATTGGTAATTTACATTTGATTTTTTCTTCATTGGAATTATTTACTTTCCAAAGGTCAAATGGTTTAGAAATTATTTGTTTAGCTGGGAAAGGGCAGAAAAAAGAGGGTGTACAAAGCTGCAATAGACCAGGGAAGTGTTTTGGGGTTGTTTGTATACTTGTTTTAGAGAGAAATAAATAATTAAGGGGCTAAAAAGGAAGGACGTGGGAGGGCAATAACGGAGTTTAATGAAGCGGTGTGAATAATGTCAGTCAAGCTCCTGAACTACAAGCCAGACTTCATATGCCTATATCCTGCACCACTGAATTAAATAGTCCATACAGAAGGCTCATTTCTGTACAAACTGACCCTAGGACATGCTATAAAAAAAGCCAGAGGTAGGAAATTGTAAGCCTAAAGTCTGTCATGGAAGTAGCAGATTTAACTTATCCTATTATTAGACTGTAGCAGCAGTAGTCACATCACCGTTTTAAGGTCCAGGTCACCTCCAGAGATTGATTTATGGTCCAAAACATAAATTCTGTCTCCTCTAATTTATCTAACAGTGATGCATCTGAGCCTTCACAGCTAAATGTCTGGCTGGAGCAAACATCAGGGCTAGTGCTCCTGCCACAGGAAGCACAACCACAGTAGGTTAGATTCGCTACAGATTTTCAGATAATAGTTGAATTGCAATGAAGGTGACTTTAGAAACTAAGTGAAATGGAAGAGGGCTCATATCCAAGTCTGCCATCAACTGTTAATCATCATCCCGCTAGCAGTGATGGGAACATAAGAAGGGTATTGCTCATTGCATGCTGTTGATAGACAATGTGCTAAACTATAATTACTTTAGTGCCATTCTGGGTTCTGAAATTTACTTCTACTTCGTTTGGAAACTATTCATCCCAGATACAATGCAGGCCCGCAGACAGCAATTCTGGGCCCTCAGGCAGAACAGTCAATGGGCCCCCCATGCACGCACAAGGCTTGCCAACTGTCTAATCGCGCAAACCCAAAGCCCTTTGCCCTGCCCCCTCCCTGAGACCACACTCCTGTCCCGTCCCTTCTCTGAGGCCCTGCCCCTTGCTCACTCCATCCCCTCTCCCTCCGTTGCTTGCTCTCCCCCACCTTCACTCACTCTCACCAGGCTGGGGCTGTGGGTTGGGGTGCAGGAACGGGAGTGGGGTCGGGCTCTAGGAGGAATTGGGTCTAGGGTGTGGGCTCTGGGTGGGGCAGGGAGTTGGGGTGCAGGAGAGGGTCCAGGGGTCAGCGCTTACCCTCGGGCAACTCCCAAAAGCAACCGGTACATCCCTCTGGCAGCAGCTCCTAGGCAGGGGGCCCAGGGAGTCTCTGCACGCCGCTGTCCTCAGGCACCGCCCCTGCAGCTCCCATTGGCAGCAGTTCCTAGTCAATGGGAGTTGTGGAGTCAGTGCTTAGGTTGGGGGCAGCTCGTAGAGACCTCCTGCCCCTGCCCTCAGGGGCCGCAGGGACATGCCGGCCCCTTCCAGAAGCGGCTGGAGCGAGGGCAGGCAGGAAGCCTACCTTAGTCTCGCTGCGCCGCCAGTGGCCGGGGGCCCCCGAACCCTTTTAAATCTCCTGGGCCCCTGGCAAATTGTCCTCTTTGCACACCCCTGTCAGCAGGCCTGATACACTGTATGAATGTGTTTGCTTATTTATTCATTCATTCATATGGAGCTACTGGTGGAAATATCCTTTTATACTGCTATAAAACAAATTCCCTGCTCCCAGGATCTTACCATCTTGATTACTCTGATTTGTCTTGCAATGAGTGCATCTAGAGCTATTTTCAGACTGAACCACAAGATTATGCAGTAGGACGATACAATATAAGGAAATCTGGACAGTCATTTAAATTGCATTTAGCTGTAGCTTAAATTTAAATGCATGGGGGGTGGTGAGTATAGCAGACATTTCTGTATCCAAGTTCAATGAGTGATCAGCTGCAGGCATTATACTGTGAGACTTCCTTTCATCAATCTATGTTGAATTTAGTCTCAACCATCTGCTTCAGTGATTGCTTCACTCCATGTTCCAACATAGATAAAAATCACACGATGTAGTGGAGAGTTTCCAATTTTCTTAATTAAGAAGGAATATTGGATATTAGCAAATCATTAAAGTAAAGTCACATATGAAATAGAAGTAAATCCATAATTTGACAGCACTATCTGTTTCAAATGGATTTGATGTTTGTGTGCCTAGTTGAGATTAGTGAATAAATCAAGAAAAAGAGTGAGATTTTCAAGGCTGCCTATGCATTTGGATGCTCAGTTCCCATTAACTTTATCAGAAATTACTAGTTTATACAAAATATTCTTGTTGCCTTCAGCAAGCTATCAAAGTCAGTTAATGTATATTCTGTGGCTGCACTGAAGTTAAAAGGAGTTTTCACCCTAGGTATTATTTGAATTTTATTTGTTTTCAGATCACGATAGTCTGGTTTATTTTGTAAATGTAATGTTCCATATTTATATTTTTTTCTTTTTAAAAGGAAACCAAGAATTAAAATCTATCAGAAGTACAAACTGATCCAGTAAGTTACAACCACTGTTAGCCAGATATAAAATGAATTGGTTCTGCCCAGACTGAGGAGCTGCTAGGTATTTTGACCACCATTCTCACTTCAGAAATGTGTGTGATGCACCTACTAAACCATTAATCTGGGAAAGGAATCACTTCAGCACCTCCTTTAATTTTTCTTTACCAGTAACTCAGTCTGACTCTACCATCTGTAGTTTAGAAATTTTCCTGGCCAATTCCAATATT